GGGGACGCGTCAGAAAGCTGTGAGGGGTAAGATGGGCATAGGCTCCCCGAAGTGGACAGTACGTAAGATAACGACTCCGGTGAGAAGTCGGGTCATTACATGATGTGCCGTGTTGCCACATACCGATGGCAACATATCTCATGAGACATTTGTTTATGTATCTGATAATGCAAATGCAGGCACTCGAAGATGCTCTCATAGTCTCATTCAACAAAAGCGTCTCATTGCCTACATTGAGAAGAAGAAGAAAAAGTTCATCTTTTGCGGGCTGAAACCATAATCTTTTAAGACGTAGTTTTGGTGTTTCTAATATCCAGACACCCAAAAAATGCAGGTATCTGCTAATGTTTATACGTAAATTAAAGACCGAGAACATTACAAGATTGAATTAAATTGAAGAAAAATTAGTTCAAATATTTAATTTTGTCATGTGCATTCTAAATAGTATATACTGCTTCCTAAATAAGCCTTTCCATTGCCAATAAAAGCATGTTTGTTACACAATTCTAGTAGATGAGTTGAACTTATTTTTGTTCTTTAAACTGTTCTGCTATACTTCCAATCTTTAATACTGTTGCCCTGTACAATCTCTCTTACCGAATAATAAGCCGTAAAAGTTAGTTAGAGAGAGAGAGAGAGAGCGCGTTTAACCACACTTGATAAAACATTTCTGTAATTTTTACATAAAGAACTGGAAGTATAAGTGCTCAATTCACTTTCTCAAACAAGATAGAAATCCAACATCAACAAAATTTACACACAATTATAACTTGGTAAGATTTGAGGATATTTGTTATACGTCAACACGGCCAAACATATCCCTGGAACATCGAAGCACCAAGCTTGACACCTTACCAGCAAAACTTCTTTTTCTGCACAATACCAAAACAGAACCATATATCAACGGAAGTCATTAGACTACAATCATGCTGCATACACGTGCTCATGCAAAGAAGAAGGTAGATCTCCCTCCCTCCCCCCTATGCGTGCATGCAATGATGCACCGACACGGACACGTGTGTCCGACACGATAAGAATCAGATACGCAGAGTATCCGACACGCGATTTTTAAAAAAAAAGTATAAACACATGTCATCGACACATCGATTAAATTTTTAAAAATTCTTCGTTTATATAGTAAAATTTTAGTTTTATACTTGTTATTAATTTGATTATGGTAGAGTGTCAGAGAAGTGTCGGTATTGACTCGTGTCCGACACGTGTCAGCACGGACACGTGTCTGATTGAGACAGGACGGATATGCATACTATAGTGTGTGCATGTGTTCTAAAAATTTTGATTCATATGGAGGATCAGATTAACACAATAGTAAGTAGCACGTGGATGTTTGAGAAAGAGTAAGGCTCGTGATTTTATGTTAAAAAATTCTATTGTAAATATCAAGAACAAAGAACTGATTAACTCCCTCGAAGTCTGGCTTCTTCTCGTGATTTTAAATGTTAAAGCTTCTATTGT